TTTTAAATTGCAGAACCTCTGGGACTGTGACGCAGGAAAGAGGGGACCATCACCCACCTGTACACACTTTCGTCGTAATACAGCAGGATCCTGAGTGGCTGGTCTATGCTTCTCTTCTTCACAACGTGGGCGGGTTCGATGTGGACGTCACCTATGACCTGTGGAAGACAGACAGACAGACGTCAGTACCGGCCGGAAAGCGAAGAAACAGCATTCCAGATAATGGACAGTCGATGCACATTTAACACTGTTGAACCAAGTATTTTGTTTAAATCGGTAAATTACACGCAAATATACAGGGTGTCCCAAAAAAAATACACAACCATTACATATGTCAGTATTGGATATGCAAGTTTTTTTGGGACATTCTGTATAATCTAGAACCCTACTGCAGTTTCCAGTCTTGTCTAGGTGTTGATAGGATACGACATACGTATAACAGAGCGACGCTAAGCAACGATATATTGCCGGAAAACTTAATTCGACGTATTAGGCAGTCTCTTCCGTTCTACACGTCTATTTATCCGTCCGTCTGTCGCTTTTAACAACTCGAGAACCTAACCTAACCTAACCTAACTGATTGGCGTTATATTCATACAGGGTAGGATTATGAAAATTTGTTTGCGCGTACTAATTTTGGTTAAAAATGGACAAAAATAACGGTGACAATTTCATAACGACCTTAACCCCGCACCCCCCCTTTAGTGATAAGCATTTTGCCTCTCACAGCCGTCACCAACACGTAATTACAATAATTACTACGCGATTTGGAGCGTAAAAACACTGGCTTACGGGAAGCGTGAGATAAGAACGCAATAATGCAATTCATAATTCTTTGTTTCTAGGTAAGAATTACTTAAGTCAATGCAGATGACATTGGAGTTAAGTTTCTCTCACGCAGCACCAAAAGAATTAGAGCGCTCCTCGTGTCGTGAAAATGAAACTCTCTCTCATTCACAAGACGTCTTCGGAACTGTAGAAACAAAAGACATTTGAAGCGGCGATTACACGCTAAAGAATCCGTGAGACAAACCCCGAAGAAAGTGAGATGCTTGTTACCTCTATCAGTACGGGGCAATGGACGCAGTAAACACCTCTGAAACGTCGGTCAATATCTACCAAGAATACAGGCCTCAAAATCTCTACCGTAAAAATTACGTTGTGTTCACTTGTGCAAAAACATTTTAAAACACCTAAATTACGTCTGCGAATTCCGGACATATTAATTTTTTTGTCCAAAGACCATTTTTTTTAAGATAATAAACTTCTGGTACATCATCTCGTTAGACCAGAAAGAAACATAATGAACGTAACCTGACGCATTTTAGTGAAGGTTACGAAATCTAAATTTTATTAAATTCTTAAAACCATTGAAGTGTTACTAAATATGGTTCTGTAAAGAACTTTCCTTTATGCTCTGTTAAAAACCATAATCTTTTGGATTATATTATATGACTTAAATTTTTTTGCCACTGATGATGACATCTTGAGGTCGAAACGCGTTTGGCATTAGTTTCCTTCATATTTATAAAATTCCTTCGCACGCACGGACAAACACAAAACACACACACACAAAGTCAGCAGTTCAGAGATTATTCTGCTATTCGTCGTCCGTAATCAGTTTCCGACGAATAAAGACTAGTTTCGGAGGAATCTACTACTTCCATCTTCAGGATATAAACTGCGTCTACCGTGGGGATGGAGTAATAAGGTTCCTACGAACTGTCGAGAACCACCTGTACCACTGTACACGGTTTCATAACCCTGAACACTGCAATTTGGATTTTACGCTGTTCTGAGAACAGCAAATCTCAGACATTGACGAAATTGGATTTTTAATAGATGTAACGTTAATTGGCCCAGCCCTGTATATATTTTTTTTTTCAGTGGAGTCTTTAAGTTTTCATTTGCCACGTGTTAACGTGTAGATAGGTGAATAATATTAAAATTAATTTTAAATAAATATGACTAAAGGATGTATGACCCCCATCGGTGTCACCCTCTTTGTTCACAAGACGTTACACACATTCGTGTCGTAGGAAACTTGTGTACTGAGCTTTAGAGCGAAGCGAGGTCACACGGGCTGTTTGTTGTTTGAGGTTTCATTGAAAACGGAATTAATATCTCCCTTCACTTGGCCTTATTAAGGCGAGCCGAACTCTGTAAGGCGTGAGACATTCTGGATCTTCTTCAGTTACAACTCACACTTCAAAAATCGGGTAGAATTTTGTTTCAAATCTACAACAAACACAAAGAACGACATATTTTACAAATTTTTATCTCAGTTTAACTTATGGCCACAGCTATATAAAGTCGGATGGGCACTGGTCTTAATACCCGTACAAATGTGTCCATCTAATTTAAAAAAAAATGTTAATCAGATCTTTAATCACTGAAAAATGCTCCAGTGTGACTAGAAGTGCGCTCCCAGGCCACTAAAATCGGAAAACCTCGGTACTTACATGACGATAACCCGTCCGTTATCTCAAACTAACATGAATATTAATTATCACGCAGATTCCTACAGAAAAATGCGTTTCAAAAAATTAACTTCAATGACCTTGAGAACTTTAAAAGCCTCTATTCGGGAAACCCGCGGACTGATATTGTCTTGACTATGACATGACGATGACCTGTCCGTGACCTCAAACTAGCATGAGTATTGACACTCAGATCCATACAGATCGGCAGAAAATAGCGTTTGAAAAAAATGATTTTGGAAATACCTTGAAAATTTTAAAGGCATCTACTCCTGAAACCTCGGTACTTATGTCGTGTCCAAGTCTGTGGAGTCGGTACTAAATTCTCCGACTCCGACCCCAACTCCTTCATAAGAGCTCAATATGTATTAATAAGGGTAAAGCTACTAAAATGGTAAACGACACCATAAGAGATTTCATCACCACCACGTGAATCATCATCCTAATTTTTAGACTTATGACCCATATTTAAATATACGTCTAATGTTTATTGCAGAAATCGGTTGATTTGTAGACGGTTTGTACTCTTAAGGTACCGGAGCCAAATTTACAAAGAATTATTCCCACACCACGTGGCTCGCACGGTATAGAAATTGTATCGTAAGATTTTATATCGAGGTCGGAGTCGGTACATTTGTACCGACTCCGTCCCCACCTAAAATTGCTTCAGATTCCGACTTCACAGCCCTGATTAAGACACATTTAGATTTCTTGTATGACGAGTGGCTCCTGAGAAGATATCTTGTGTGATTAACACGAACCAAAATTAACCCCTCAAATACCAGACTTACCTAATTAATATTTAATAATTCAGTCCGTACCGCAAAGAAAATGTTTAGGAAATTTTTCGATTTTTTTTTCGTCTTTAAAAATTGACACTGATTATATTTAAAACGAAAAGTTATGGCAAGCAACGGTGGCACGACCTTCATACCGAGTTTCATACAAACCGGTCAGTTCGTTCTACAGCTCTTCGGTACTCATGCATCGTCCTTTAGTAAATTAGATACTGGAAAACAATGCCAACATAGGTCGGGCCCCACCCAGAACGATATCATGATTACGATCCTCGTATACTTTTACGAGCTGTTTCTGAACACACCCATCACGCATATTTAGCATTGCACATCTCTATGCTTGTATTTTTAGTTAGTGTTCATGGAATTATAACGTGAATTTTGACACGCGTCCGAAAACACGAGGTTATGCAACCAGCTCTAAAGCCTGGTCCACGTTGAGAAGAGACTACTGTCTTTTATGGCCCAGGGATAATGCAATCATAATTTGGGAACAGATGAAGTCAGGGCGAACAATGTCAAAGATTATCCTTCAATATACAGGGCGTTCAATTTAAAACGCAACTCCAAATACAACAATAATTTTTCGCTTTGGTAGAAACCATATAACAAGGCAAAGCCTATAATATTTTTATTAAGTTTTAACTTCTGTTAGCTTCACAGTGGATGGTGAAAATGGCCACCAGCTTCTAGAGGACTAAGATCAAATAGTCATTTTTTAACCAGAGTCGGTGTATTGTAGCAGCAAACAATTTCGATGACAATGAACACAATTTCTCGCTTGAGCATCGGCCTAGCAACTGGGGTGACCTTAAATCTAATGCAAAATGGGAGCTTGGGAGACTATATCAAAAGGACGGTCAGAAAAACGTTATTATCACGTGTGTGTTTTAAGGCGGCTGGCAGGTGAACCTCGGGTTTCCTGCATAAGAAGAAACCCGAACGTCCTCGTGGAATAGCTTTCACTTTCTCAAATCACAAACTCACCTGCGTGGGCAGTGAGCAAGGTAGCAGATGGCATTCGGGGTACAAGGCAATAAACATCAGTCACTTGTCAGCAGACAGAGCAGATGAACAAGACACTCTCCTATACCCAGCAATCCCTTGAATACATTAGATACCTTCGGGTCTCCATGGCTACAGACAACTGATATTTCAAGGGCCATTAAGTCGGTTTAAACTCCACCAAGATCAGGGCTGCACAATGGACCCAGCATCAGAACAACTGAAGATAATCTCCTCGCCAATCGCTCGGGGTTTCGTTACTCAGAAGAAAGACGCGGTTGCCAGAGACCAACGCCTTGTGGGAAAATGGGGGTTAGGGGAATAGCAACCGATGTTAACACTCACGAACATCAAATTTGGGTTCAAACTGCACGAATATTATCGCGTACGTCTGTGAACGGATATGACCTTGGGAGATATTACGACGGAATCCCCAACGCAGGGAATCCGTACGATGTCCCAATCCACTCGGACATAACCCCAATTAACTAGTCAACACTACATATTTTTTAAAAGCATCAACGAAATGAAAATCCAGAGGGAATAACAGAGTTAAAGTTTCTATTTTTATGGAGCACACGGTTGGGGGGGGCGCCATTTTCATTTGCAACGTGAGATTACAAAATTGTTTCCATGGCTTCCTGGTTACAAATTCTATGAACGCGGAACGTTTTAAACAAACAAGTACTTCTGGAAAGAATTTGATGTTGACCTGGTTTATAACGCCGCGTGAATTCGTAGGCAACGTTTCGGAGAAACATAATGTCTCCATCTTCAGGGCTAAATACATTAGCATGTCCTTTCGAGACGATATTTACCCACAAGTGTACACAGCGTTATAAACCAGAATACCAACATCGTCACCAAAAAATAAAT